AATGTCTTCAACATGATTTATGCCACTATCCTGTTTATTTATGATTCCTTGATTCCTTTGCATCTTTGCTGTTTACATGTGTATCAGTTTGGTTTATCACGGTTACGGTTATTGAGTGAGTATAAGTTGGTTCTTCATTATGTTACTTGGATTCATCTGTACTTATTGCTGTTGCACGCAGGATAGTTAGCATTATATCTTCAACAAGCTTCATGTTTCTATTACTACAGCATTATATCTTCAACAAGCTTCCTGTTTCTATAACAGGAATATAACATAAACTTAAATTGATTAATCAAAAAGTTAGATTTCGTGAACATAATCAAAATTAGGTTATCCAAAACTTATTTTTTGAAATGTATGAAAAGAAAAAATAGATTTCACAAAGAAAAAATTGTAGCGACTTGTTCGAGGCCATATTCAAAACAGAATGAATTTCATAGGCACGGAGAATCGCCTTCGGAGATCGATTTCGCCAACCTTCAATGCAATATACACCAACTATCGATGCTCTTACTCTGCAAATTGGCTTTAATATTCTAGTAAAGAAACGTATAAAGAAAAACAAAACAAAAACAGGATTTCTCAGATACAAGATTTAAAGCAAAGTTTATTTAAAAATGTAGCGACTTGTTCGAGGCCGTATTCAAAACAGAATGATTTGATAGGCACGGAGAATCGCCTTCTGTGATCGATTTCGCCAACCTTCAATGCAATATACATCAATTATCGATGCTCTTGCTCTGCAAATTGGCTTTTCTTTCAAATTTCAACAATAATTTCTAATATTATAATAAAACCATAAAACAGTATAAGAAAAAACACAAAGAAACCATATCAGGAAGAAGAAATCGTAACTCGAATTGATGGGAACTTGCAGGTAAAAGCTGCAAATTTGCGTTTTATAGAATGCAAAGTTGCAAACGGTTAGACCTAATTTTGTGTAGCGGAGATATTTCCTAACTGTTGTTATTAGTTGGGCTATCATAGGTTTTATTTTGGGCTCCTTTTTCTAATATTGAGTTTTCGAGTACAATAAATTACTTCATACACCATAATTTTATACTCATACTCCCATGTTTGTTTCTTTTTTCCGGAAAGCTCTCATTTTTTCTAATACTTTATAATTTTGAGTTTAATGGGCATATCCAATAAAAATTATCCATTATGTTGATAAATTGATTTGAAAATGTTTTTGTCATCCGGTAGAGATATACATATTATTAGTGATTTTGATGTAAAATTATTTTATATTATTAGTGTTTCTTTATTTTATGATTTTACCTCTTCGCTTAAAATAATTATTTTTTTGTATTTTATTTAGTTTTTTGAAAAAATAAAATAAAATTTGGATATTTAAAAAAAAATTAACTTAAGAAATTTAAATTTTGAAATTTTTATTAAAAAAACAATTATTTTTTAATTTTTTGAAATTAGCGATAGTTTAACCGGAATATTTTTTTAATAAATTTGAATTTTTTTATAAAAGTCATTCTCTCGTCAATAATAATTACACTATAAAAATTCAATACTAAAATTTTTAAAATTAATTTTTTTTCCAAAATTAGTACTACTCCGTCTCATATTATAAGCAAATTTTGCTTTTTAAATTAAATGAATAATTAATATATATGATCTATATATAGACTAGATACATTAATTTTACAATGAATCTAAAAAATAAAATTTGTTTATAATATAAGATGGAGGGTGTACATTTGTAGAAATTAATTTTTAAAAATATTTTGACAAATTTAAATTTTTAGTTGTGTAGAACTTTTTAAAAGTGGGATAAAATATATTTTTTAATAATGATAACTTGAAAATGCTAATGGTAAGTAACATATACACAAATGGAAGCATGGCGGGCTTCTACTTCGAATTAGGTGTTGGTGATGGTGTTGTTTGTGAGTACAATAGATGATATTCTTCCTGTGATAAGGTATGCAATAGGGCGTTGTGTTTTGATCTATAAAAAGTGATTTGTTTACACAACTATCTAGTTGAGTATTTATAAAAGAAAACCCTTATAGAGAAACAAGTAGGGAGATTGGTTCTTATATCCACAACATCGATTACACCTATCTTAAATGTGACTTGTTAAATGATTGATTGGGGCGAGTCACCTTATTATGTTTGTATATAGGATCAATCCAACCAATATTTTGGTTATTCCTCAATAAAGTCTTATTCTACTTGTTTAAGACATGTCTCACCACGTCTTCAACAAAAGAGAGTAGGTAGGACTGGATCAAGTCCTCACCAAGAGACCATGCCATCCCCTACTATGGTACTTACCCTGTAACACCATATAATAAGTATCTAGAAGTTATTATATAAGGTTAAACAAAACGGTATTCAAATATGGTCTTTTAGAATTTAATTGATAAGACTGCCTTTGAGAAAATAAAATAAGTAGGTAGAGTTAAATGATTAACAATTCCACTTTTAAAACCTAAAAACATAATTTCTAATTTTCAATCTTTAGTTCTTTGGTTGCTTTGTCTTGTCGATCCTAAAATCTTGTTCCTTAATAAAAATAATAAACAATGTCGGGTGAAAACTAATTTCTGAATGGACTTTTGACTAGGGACTTCAAACTTTACTCAATTCATTTTTAATGAAGCCTCAAGTTACTTATATATACTTACTCAAATCTTAAGAATAACTTTACTGATGTTCTAAGAACGACAAACTGAATTTTTAACAATAACTTAATTAAAATTCAATTTTAATCGGAACTTGGTCTTAACATAATTCGAGCATAAATGTTTAATTCCCAGAACGAGAATAATATGAGAATTTAAATTTATCTAACATGTTAACATGAGGGAGCATAATAACTAGAGTTTTCATAACAAGTCAATTTTGAGTTAGTGACATTGTGGTCACCATCATAAGCTGGATATATATATATATATATATATATATATATATATATATATATATATATATATATATATATATATATATATATATATATATATATATTATATTTTGGTATGATTAAACATATATTATCTTTGTAAGTGATGCCCCACTTACCATGACTTACATGTCTTATCTTATAAACAGAGAATCCACTTAGCCACGACGAATATTTTATTCTCACTTAACCCTAAGTAATCATCTAAATATATATAATAATAACAACATATATGTACTTATACGTAAGTAGTTACTTAAATACCTATCTATATACACATACTTGCTACATAAAAAAGTATAAATAATCTCATCACTCATTCATCATGATATAATATGCAAACCATACACTTCATTACTATCTAATATTACTTACTAGTTATGACTAATCACAATTTTAAAGGCAATTGCATTTTAATCTTTAACAATTCTTAATCTCATTTCAACCTTGATTCTAAGTAAAATTTGAGTGATAATTGAGCCTAGGATCATTGAATTAGCATTAGAGATCACTATACTTACCTTAATTTAGGGTGTTAGGGCTTAAAATAAAGTTTTGGGGAAATTCTAGACTCATGAATCGAGACAGGAAACCCCATGACTCGAGACAGGAAACCCCATGACTCGAGTTATAAATTCATCTACACAATTTTAAAAACATGACTCGAGTCATGACTGTTGGGAAACAAGTGTGAGTTGTGATGAAAAAATAAGTGTGAGTTGTAAGTCTCACATTATTTTAAAAGTGGAGGTTAAACACTTTATAAGTAAGAGGACTCACACACTTATCACCTTAAGATTTTGGGTGAATATGTGGTGACTCTCTCACTTGTCTGATGAATATTTGATCTTTAGATAAATGTTTTATCCAACATGAATGTTCATCCCTCATGATGATCCAACAATGACTCGTGTCACAAATCTAGCGTCACAATTCTAATAGCATGACTGAGTCAAAAATCCAACAGCAAAATTCTAATAATATGACTCGAGTCACAAATCCTTAACTTAGAAAAACATGATTTTTTTCCAATATAAAACATAGCTAGTTACTCCCTAACATTCTCGAATCAGAATATACATGATCATAGAAAACAAACACACACAAATCAAAACAATTTCGGGCTAATCCTAGACAATTTTCATCACACCTATCTAACATACAATCATTATTCTAACTTGAAGTCTTTAATCCTTAAACTAAATGTTTATCATTCTAATGTCCGGCATGACATTCAAAACTACATAATCCTAGCTTTGATCAACTTAAAGAAAAGTAACATTTTTAACAAGAAAATGATGATGATGATGATTGTCTCCAATGCATTTCTAAATTCATTCAAGATTTTTTTCCCCTTTCCTTATCCCATATTCGTGCTCCATTGTAGTTAGGAATTGTACTACGATTAAAAGATAATGTAAAAGACTGAATTCAAATGATCTAATAATATTTGTAATATATATATATATATATATATATATATATATATATATATATATATATATATATATATATATATATATATATATATATATATATATATATATATATATATATATATATATATATATATATATATATATATATATATATATTATTTATTATTACTTTTTTTTAATTTCTTCATCCAACAATATATGTGCTAAGCATACCTCTTCTCGTCAATTTTTCTACCTAAGTAGCTTGATAATTTCTAAATTTAAAAATTATAAACAATTCTCATGCATTCGATATTTTAGTACAATTGTCGAAATTATACATCATATTCTAATTTATTTCGGTCATATTACAAACAAACAGAAACAATAAACCTAAAAATTAACAGAACTAGGAAGCAACACAATTTTGTAGAAGCAACTCTCCTAAAAAAAAGAAATTACAACTAAAAACAATAATAATGACGATGAAGACGACCACAACAACAAAGACGAAGATTGTGATACAATGCAAAAACACCAATAACACACATCAAAGAGCTAGAAGTTACAAGTCCAAACAAATCTAGAGTACCATAAACCATTCTTAAAAATTGCAAGTGAAAAGGTGTCTAAAACATGAAACGAGTAAAAAAATTTCATGGCACTGCTTCCATCTTCTCACATTCTTCTCGTACTTCTTGAAAAAGAGAAGTCGATAAATATCTTTCACCGAAACTTGGAAATACAACCTGCAATGAATAAAAATAAAATATTTTAATTCTGCAAATTTAAAATAATCTAAAACTTTTAAGAGTAAAAAATACAAAGATGACATTTGTATGAAAATTAAATAATAAGATCTAATTAGCTGAAGAGACATATAATCAATGTCTACCAGTGCTTACGTACCACAATAAGTTTTCCCTCATTTTCAGGCCTCTTTGCAACCTGCAATGCAGCTGTAGCAGCACAACCTGAAGAAATTCCCACCTATTTACCAAAGGAAAGAATCTATGTGAATAGCCAAAGTTTAAAGCCAATGGTTCATTTAGATACAACAAATTGACATAAATCACTAACCAACAAGCCTTCCTGGAGTGCTATTGTCTTTGCAGTTTTGACAGATTCTTCACCTGATATCTGCAAAAGTTGTCACATCACATGCTACAGAATTAGGAAAAAAAAATGTCTTTGTAAATTAGAATAATACTTTGAGTTTTGATTAAAAGAAATTGAAAAGAGTAAACACAATAACAAACCGCTATAATTTCATCCATGATTTTTTTATCCAAATTCTTGGGCACAAAACCAGCCCCAATACCCTGAATTATGTGAGGTCCTGTAATTACAATTCATTGGGTCAAATATTTTTTTCAACTTTATACAATTATTAATTGAGTTGGCTTAACGAAAATTTATTACGTCAAATATTCTAAAATACGAAATAATATACAATTATCCGGCACATAAAAATTTTTATTCACATTTCTTACTTGGTTGTCCACCGCTAAGTATGTTGCTTTCTAGAGGCTCTACACCAATAACCTAAAAGACACTCATTATTAATTAATTGATACTAAACGACAAATATGTCATTGAAAATGTTTTACCTACCTTAATATTTGGATTTTGTTCTTTTAGAAATCGACCTGCTCCAGAAAGGGTTCCACCAGTTCCAATTGCTGAAACTAAAATATCAACTTTACCTTTTGTATCTTCCCATATCTCTGGCCCAGTATTCTCATAATGTACTTTAGGATTTGAAGGATTGTCAAATTGTTGAAGCATGAATGCATTAGGTGTATTTTTTACAATTTCTTCAGCTTTTCGAACTGCTCCAGTCATAGCCTTGGAATATTCGGTCAAAACAAGTTCAGCTCCAAATGCTCTCATAAGAATTCTTCGCTCTAAACTCATCGAAACAGGCATTGTCAAAATGAGTTTATATCCTTTAGTAGCTGCTATATAGGCAAGACCAATTCCTGTATTTCCACCGGTAGGTTCCACCAAAGTACTCTGAATTAAGTGTATATCACAAACAAGTTAATACTCTCACTTTCTTTTATATATATATATTTAAAAAGTTAATCAATACTGTTATTTTTCTTACAATAATTCTCTTTTTATCGATAATACTCTTAAAATCTTTTAAAAAAAATAATTAGACATATTGATTGATGCTTTCTATCATGTTTTACCTTTCCGGGGGTTATGAGTCCTTTCTTCTCAGCGTCAAGTATCATGCTATAACCGATCCTGCAAAAATACAAACGATTAGACAAGAAAACAGAGTATCCAACATACTAAGATATTTGTTTAAACTTTGATATTCTATAACCATATTTTCGGTTTAACAATACCTGTCTTTGACACTGCAGCATGGTTCCATAAGCTCAAGCTTTGCAGCAATAGTAGCAACGCAACCTTTCGTAACACTCTTCAAGTAAACCATTGGCGTTTTTCCTATGAGCTGTGTCATGTAAGCAGCAACAAATGAACAAATTCATCTTTAAATTGCACGCTTATAGAAACAAACAAAGAACAAAAACAATACGAAACCTACCTCTGTAATATCCCCCGCAATATTGAGACTGTCGAGGTTGGTTTGGGGTTGGACATTAGCGGTGGAAGAAGAGTAGATCCTGGGGAAGACGGAAAGGTGGCCGATACCGAATCGCGGTGATACGGGTGCACGAATCAACGACTTGAGTAAGGAAGTAGAAGCCATTGGTGCTTGTGGAGAAAGCTTTGATGGCAGAATCTTATAAATAAATAGATATGCTGGTTAGGGAGTGCACGAAATCCACGAGATCGCATATTTGATATGATGTTTTTTTGTTTATTATAAAATAAAGTTAAAGATAAATTAAAATAATCAAAAGATTGCAACACTGAAATATAATATTCCAATCCACTCAATAATTGAAATATTATTGTCTATCCCTGTATGCTCTCATTCCAATGGACAATCCGTATCCCTCCAATTTTGCAGAACTCCGCCATACAGTACTTTACAACTAATTTGCTTTGGTTATTTCGATGCCTTTGGATATACCTTCCTTCAAGGTAAGAGAGATACATGATACATCAAATAAATGGGCATATAATTTAGTAATATCATGTCATTTTTTTTCTTCGTTTTATTCTATTTTAAAATAAATTAAAATTTTAAAATAATTTTCACTAAAGGCATGAGTCTCAAGGAATTTATCAAATTAATTATATTAGATTATGGGACTGTTTGTTTTATTTTAAAAAAATAATTTTTTTTTACTCGTGATTTTTTCAATCGTTAATTATTTTTGTATCTAATTTTTGGGTATGTGATGTGAATATCACGGGCTAGAAACAATTTTTTTTTAGTGATTTTTAAAAATAATTTTTGTAAAAATGCTTTTCGAAGTATTATAAATTTTTTGAAATTTGTTTTCTCTAAATTAAAAGACTAATGTTGACATATTATAAATAAATATACATTATTGAAAATCAAAATATAATTAAAATTGTAATTTTTTTAAAAAGATGTATCTAAAAGAATTTTAGTTTTAAAAATATTTGAAATAATTTCAAAATTAAATTATTCTTTTGAGAATAATTGTTCAAACCAAATTTTCATTTAAAGTTCTAATGAAAAAAAAAAATCATTATAAATATTTTTTACACAAAAATATGTAATATTATAAAAATTATTTTTAAAAGAAGTTAAACCAAACAGGTATAGTATATAATTAATATTTTATTAAAATTGAATTAATGATAGTTTTTTAGTCTTCTCTAGAATGTTTTAAAGTGTTTTTATCATACATTTTTTTCTCCACATGCATCACATCAAGATAATATCTTACCTAGAGACTAGACCAATATAAAAGATAAAAAAACAGGGATGTCTTTTTTCAAATATTTCTCTAAATGAGGCCTTTTTTTATTCTTTCCAAAGACAAGAGTATGATGTTATTTTCGTTGATAAACTTCATCACCAGTTAAAGGTTTAGCAGCGATTTCAAACTCTTACTATCTGTTAAAAGTCTTCCGCAATTGTTTACTGTCGAAATTGGTAAACAAGCGCTAGTCTTCCAAATTCTTGTGATTTTGGTTACTTACAAGATCGATTAGATTGATCATATGACATGTGCTTATGTTCGTTTCAAGTTAGATTGTTAATGAACATTTATACAATGTTCTTTTGATTTGTTAAAGGTAATGCTACAATTCGTAAAACGAATGCAGAAAAATAAATTGCAAAGTAAAAGACTTTAAAGTAAACTTGCAGAAAGTAAACTCGCAAGAAATGTAAATGACAAAATCCTAAATGATTTGATGAAAAGTATAAAAATATGGTGATCACACGTGCATTGCACTCAGGAAACTCTTTTCTCAACACACACAGATACTTTGAGTAAATTTGAGTTTTTTGTATAAGTTTGAATACATGAATCCTAATTACTAAGATTCCTATTTATAATAAATCGAAAATAACTGTAATCAAATAATCTCTTCTCCAGAAGATGCCACGTTTTCGATTGCATGTACTTCACTATCCACAACTTTCCACGTGTCTTCAAGAAACGGATAAGGCCAAAAAACATTTATTAGCATCATTTTTAATTATGTTCGTCGAACGTCACTTCAAGCGACTCTGTCAAACTCAAATCTAGATCAAAAATATTCTAAGTCCCAGACCACAACTTTCTTGATACAAAGAGTATTTTTCGACTATATCCTCGAAAGTCTTTATGTTGAAAGAAACATCTTATTTTTTCAGAATATCTCTTTAAGCTCTATTGATTTATTTCAACATTCATGTGCGTCAAAATTCTAGCCAACAAATTACCCCACAAAAATGTCATTTTCGACGGTAAAGAATCTTTACTGTTGTGACGTCATAGTCATCATGACCATGTCTCTTCAGACGTCTGATTGAGACGTGCAAGAATCCAAATTTAATCATCACACTCCTATTTCCTAAGAGATCGTGGATCACACCAACTGCCACCGTCCAATCACTCTCTCCTTGATCAACATGTGTCCCACGATCTCAACAACTGTCAGCATTGTTGAAATGAAATGCCTCTCTCTCATCTCACTATAAATACTTCTTTTCACCTTCCTCATTTTTTACTTCTTCTGGACTTTTTCTTCTAAAAACTCCAAAAAAAATCAAATCTTTCCCTCATTTTCAACATCAATGGCGTCCAAAGCTAAGAACCCTAAAGATTCCAAAAAGCAAATGTCTATTCCTCTTGTTCATAAGATTCTGGGTCCTAAAGTTGTGGGGAATCAACAGTATATCCCAGAACCTATCCTTGAAGAAGAGAAACACCGCATTTATCAATCTCAACTATTAATCCCTATTTTAATTTATGGAAAAACACATGTTATTCTTGGTCCTTTACTAGAGATTAACACTAATTTTGAATATTTTCCCACTTATCATAGACCTAAACCCATAGCAAGTAGGAAAAAAATCTAAGGCTGGCAATGAAACTGTGAATATTGAACCATGTACGGTAGTTGATACCTAGATAAAGTCCTCAACTGAGCCTATAGAGAAACCCATTAACCTAGATTATATAAGCAATTCTACTAGAGTGTTTCACTTTTGCCCCTTGTCGAAAGACCCTGAAAATTACTTGTCCTGGCTTGCAAAGATAGAGAAAAAGAAAACCCAATTTTGAAAAGATATGGAAATCTTCGACATGATTCAACTGTCGAAAGCTGGACCAGATTATTGTCAAACTATATTGCTAACCTCCTTATACTTCTAGGATAGTACTCACAACAATTTTCACTTCCCTTGTGGAATGTTAACTCCCACCCTATTCGACATTGTTTCAATCACTGGTCTTCGACCAAACGGAGACGCTTTCGATCTCAGCCACATGACTGACGACACCATTGGCTTCGATGGAAATCGAGCTACTTTTACTCATTACATCTCTGACCACCATAATAAGGACACTAAAGAAGTTTCTGATGAAGAACATATTTCTTTTCTCGAACTTTGGTTATCTCGATGTGTTTTTTGCTCGAAATCTTTACAAGTGGCGAAGAAGTTCTTAACCATGGCGAACCAAATACACGCTGGTCACAAGCTCTGTCTTAGCCAAATAATTTTAGGTTACCTATATGAGTCTTTAAGAGAAGGTGTTGAGATCCTCAAGAAAATCCAACTTGGGTTGAACCTACTACTGGCTGGCCCACTTTGGTTGCTTCAATTGTGGTTTAATGCTACTTTCAAACCTTCGTTTCCAACCTGCAACCTAATCAATGAAGAGGCTGATGAAATTAAAAATAGAAGAGTCGAAGGGACATGCCTCGTCCAATTGACTCCCAATGACAAAGGGATAAATTTGCAGAAGACTTTCATTGAATATGTGATGATGTATGCCAAGTGCTACAATTTTACCCCTTATATGACTCCTTTCGCCAACAGAGCTTACGACCCAAAGTGGTTCACTAGAAAATTTTTGGATGCTTCGAAAGATCAAGAAGCGGAATCTCTGGCCATATGGGAAGCTTTCCTCACACCGAAGTTGATAACAACAAAGCTCAGACCTTCCAAGAATCAAATAATCCTTTTTAGGTACCAACCCAATCTCGTCTCTTGACAATTTGGACTCAACCAAGTTCTACCCAAGCCAATCTTCCCAAAGAAAAGCGATGTTGTTCTCTACAACATGTACCATACTGAAGTTAAATGTAATGATGAGATGTCTCATTATATTGGCACTACTCAACTCACCCTCATTTCATTCAAACCATCATACCACTGTTCCCAAGAATATGATACTTGGTGGAGACATTATTGCTCCAGGGAAATGTTCTCCTTTAATGCTTTTACTCAGCACTTAACAACTGTTTTTGCTTCTCTACAGGACAAATATAAGAAAGGTATTTTGACTCACATCAAAGAAATCTAAAAATTCCAAAAGTACTTTGAGACTGTCTACAGAACTGATGATCGTAGTCGAACCATATGCGAAGCAGCAGTTACTTTGAGAGAAAAATTACAAAGAAACTCCTTAATTTAAAACTATCTTCATACGTTAAACACAAAAATGTGTATGAGTTGGATTTTAATTTGCATCCACCGTGATTCCCTCGACTGCCAATGGCTGATTTCGGTGTGGTTTTAGCCCTCTGTTTCCCAACTGGTTTGTCTGTGGGGACTTCGTGAAAATTCTTCGACAAGACTCTTAAAAGCTGGAAAAGTGGGTGGTTTCGACTAAGCACACTCTGGATAGTTTCAAAGGACAACTTCATATTGTCATAGAGCATGTTCAAGTACTCTTTTCTATATATGAAGGTGTGGAATAGGAGGATTTTTCAATTTAATTTTTTTTCTTCTAACAATTTATTGACACCTTTTTTACTTGTGGAAATTGCTTTGACCTATTCCCGTTTTAGCCGTCGAAACAAAACAACTAACAAAAGGACCGACGGAGAAAACTACCAATTCAGCCAAAGATGAAAGTCAAGAAGAAGAAACCACCAAACCAACAACAAAGGTACCCTTTATGTTTTTTATTTCGCTTGATGTATTATCTTCGTATGCGAACGCTTATGTTATTTTTATATAAGTTGAAAACCTCCTCCGACTCCAAAGAAACAAAAGGCTAAAGAACCCCATGTTCAAGTAATCGAATCAGATGATGATGTCTTGTCACCAGACACCTCTAAAATGGCCAAAAAGAAAAAGAAGGCGAAGACATCCGATGCCACCTCCCA